CCGGAAAGTCTTCGAAAAGGTGCTAGAAAGGAGGCTCTGCGGAATAATTGACAAGAAGAGGAGTGTGGCTTCCGGCCCGGTCGAAGCATCTTTGACATTATATTTGCCCTGCGCCAGATTGTTGAGAAATCGTGGGAGTACGCCCTTCTGGTGTACGTGTTTTGTTGACCTAGAAAAAGCCCATGACCCGATCCCTCGCAAAAGTCTGTGGTCATGCCTTGGAGCGTATGGGGTAGATGGCCAGCTGCTAATGGCCATCCAATCACTGTATTCTGATAGCAGGTGCTGCTTCAGAGTTAATGGCTTTAAGTCGAAACCGTTCAATGTTCGCACTGGTCTTCGCCAAGGCTGCGTCTTGTCCCCTATCCTGTTTGTGTTGTACATGGATACGATAGTCAGGAGCTGCCAAGGCGATGAGGGTATCGGTGTAAGAGATGTGAAGTCGAGAAGGTTGCTGGTTGCAGACGACCTTGTTTTATTAGCATCTTCTGAAACTGATCTCCAGTGCTCCTTAGTAAGGTTCGCAGCCGAGTGCGACATGACCGGCATGGGCGTGAACGCATCTAAAACGAAAAGCCGAGTGCTTTCTCGTTTTCCTGTCCGTTGCTTTCTTCAGATTAATGGAGAGGCAGTGGAGCAAGTGGAGAAGTTCAAGTGCCTCGGTGTTATGTTTACTGGTGATGGAGTTCTGTGTGAAATGGCCCGTGTCATGACCGGTAACTTAAGCAGAGATGAGTCTGAAAACCAAGCTCTCGGTATTGAGGTCGTTCTTTATCCCCTTGCTTACCTAGGTCATGGTTCATGAACCATGACAGAAAAACTTCGTTCCCGTGTACAAGCGGCTAAAATAGACTTTTTGAGACGTGCTGCTGGCCTTACGCGTCTGGACATGATCCGGAATACAAACATCCGCTAGAACCCTGCTTGTTCAGATTGAGAATTCACAGCTGCAATCGCTTGGGCGTGTGTTGCGAATGCCTCCGGAAAGGAAAGCGAAGCAACTGTTTCTTGCCTAGCCGGCTGGCGGAACCCAGGGAACGGCCAAAATTAACTTGTGCAAATCTATGGAAGGAGTCTGCCCTAAACTCTATCTGTCTTTTGCCAAAGCTCAGACTCTGGCAGAGGATCCGGAACGTGGGACGCACCGTCTGACGCATCTGCCTCCGTGACCCGAAAGGAGAAGCGGTCATGGAAGATGATAATGGTGATGATGATTGGCTGTGCAATAACTGGAACTTGAGAATAAGTTTGGGTAATGACG